TCCGAAGTCTCAGCTCCTCCAACGACGAGGTCTGCGTCGCCCAATTCAGGTCTCGATCCGTGGTCGTCACCGGGAACCGGATCAGAAATCGAAATCGCGACTTCCTCCGCCGCCGATTTCACTGTACCGTCGATAGGTTCGACGAGAGATCGACAGAGAGGACAAGAGGAGTGAGAATGAAACCACATATCGATGCAGTCAACATGAAACGTGTGCTTGCAATTGGGCAAAACCCGACCCGATTCGCTCTCCTCGAATTCCGAGAGGCAAACCGCACACTCGATCGCGCTTTCGGCGGTCGCGGCGGAGAAAGTAAAAACGGGAAGAGATTTTATGACGGACTGGTCGAGGCCGCGGGAGGTTACGGCACCGGTGGAGGAAGGGTTGGCGAAGAAGATAATAGCAGCGGCGGCGCGACGATTGCTGTTGAATCGGCGGAGATGGAAGCGGCGAGAGCGGAGGAGATACCAGCGAGAGTAGAGGTGGAGAAAGATCATGAGAATGACGACGAATAAGATTAGGATTATGGCGGTGAGCATGATTCTGCTGTTTATCGTGAAGCTGCCAGGATCCGAATAGGCGCCGGGTGGGCTGGGAACTGGATTCGGGTCTCTAAAACTCATAGTTTCTGATTTCGATCGGATCCTAGATTAAGAACTGAAAGAAAGAGAGAGAAATGTGTGAATGAAGTGCAAGATGGCTATGGTGGTTTTTAGTAATGGCGAGTAAGAAAGAGTCGGAGAAAGAGAAAGACAGAGATGGCTAATTGGCTATTGGGACTACGAGATTTGAAGACGCCAACGTTGACTATTCACTTGACCTTTTTACTCTTTTGTGTTTGAATGTTTTTTTTGGTTGATTTTGATTTGATTTTTCCAAGGTAGCACGAAAAATATTAATGAATATATGTATTTTAAAAAAGTTTCTAAAATTAATATATTAAAAAAATATATATAATATTTGTATTATACTTTGATAGTGCTCCAAACAAACTGGAGAAATATTTTACTAGTTAGAGATGATAGTGCTGCTCTATAATCAATTTTCAAACGCACGACCTTTTGTAATATTTGTCTGTTAACAACTACATGTGTCTGAATGGAGACAATTTGTCTCCCCTCATAAAACGTGTCTCACATTGTGAATGGATGCACATGTTAGAGTAAAAAAAAGAGGTGGAAATTTTTTTTTACTCTCACTTACTCTAATGCTAGCCATTTAGCTGGAAAAATAAATAATCTGATTTTCAGCCAATATGGCTCAATTTGCCTATATACATGTTATTCCACTTTTTGGAGGAAGAAAAGAGATAAGTGAAACATTATTTATTTATTACTTTCATTTATTTTCACTTACACTCATTTACTACCATTCACATATAAAACATTTTTCTCCATTTTCTCACTCTTTTACTCTATTTATCAATTTTTCTTCCCTCTCAATTACTCTTCTCTCTTTTACTCTAAATTACTCTAATGTTTACCATTCACACCCTCAATATATTTATTTTTTTTCTTTTTTTTAACTCATTCTAGTTTAATAGGCAACTTCAAAATACCGTTAAAAATTCCCCTGTCGTCATAAATATATGGAGTACAATATATGTAGTCAGTCAAGGCCTGAGAAATTGATATTCTACCTCGACAGAACATAATCATCAATAACGGATAGGAATTTCTTTTTGGATTTTAAATACTCAGATTTGACATGCGTTCAAAATCTTGCTAGGCGGTACTCGGGCGGTCTATGGGAGTAGTAATCGGGGATTTGTTTGGAGAGTAATCGGGGAATTATTTTAAATATTTTTATATATAATTAAACATTTTTTTTATAAAAATATAACACATCATCAATCTGATAAATATATATTACCAATTTAGATTTGATATGTTATCTAGAATATATACATATTATCATTTAGATTAAAGTATTAAATATGTTATCTAAAATTCGAACCAAACCAAGATTATGTTAATTCAACTATGGTTCAGTTATAAGGAGGGAACTTTTATTTGTTGGGTGTGACATTAGCTTTTCTTTAACTCAACCAGTTAATGGGGAGAAATCCCCTCTCTTCAACCAAAAAAAAAAAAAAAACTCAACCAGTTAATTCAACAGGGTGTGACATTAACTTTTCTTTTCAACCAATTACAATAATCAAAATATAAAATTAGTTTTCTTCTACATACATGATTTGGATTATTCTTGAGACCAAAGGTAGATTATTTAACCGGGAAATCAAAATAATGACGATTGTCAAAATTAATTTTCTTTTAAGCTTCTAGGTTGAGTCCTTGACAAAACTTCTCATGGGGTTTGTACTATACATTTTATTTTATTTGATAACAGAACAATCGGTGAGATCTGATAAATTATTAAAGTCAGTCAAACAAAAACGAAATTGATGTCAATTAATAATCACAGAAAATCATGTTGGCTTAGTGGGACACCCCGGCCACAAGCCGGCAACTAGACGTCGTTCACACAAACAAGATTAAACGCTTCAAGGAGGTTTGGTAACTTTAGATTTCAGTTTACTTTTGTTGGTTTAAAGTTTTACTAGTTGTGTTGGATGGCCATGGTAATCGTATCTTTGACTGGTTGATGGAGTTTCTTAAGAATATAAGCCATATCATGGTTTAGTATCATAGACTTTAGAGTAGATGAATATCAAAGTCAGATTACAATAAATTATAACATGTCTTTTATAAAAACAAACGTGTGATCTCATATTTTTTCTAACATTTTTCCAATCGTCATTAAAGAAGTAAATTAATCCCAATGTCAAAGAATTTTAATGATAGTTTTGTCGTCTGTAGAGCAAACCATATATATTAGTAAATTTTCCTATTTTAAAAGAAAAATTCAGTTGTCAGTTTAGTAGGAAGATTAGTTTCAATTTCTGCTCTTGTTAGTATAGTGACAAAAATCAACTGCCCAACAACAGATACTTTTTTGAGTATTTGCACTGGATAGCAATACTGTTTGGCCTAATTAAGAAAATGACAAGAACAATTATCTTGTTTTTTTTTTTTTTTTGTTCAAAACCAATTATCTTGTTCAAACAATGAAAATATTTCACCACCACTTCTCTCCTTTATACCCTCACGCGTTTTTTTCTTTCTTAATCTCATTTTCTCACTCTTTCATCTTAAATGACTTGCTCTCCTTTCTTCTTTTTATTATTTTCAGAAAAATGAATCTTTCTACTTTCAAACTCCAAAAATGATTAGAAATCATCACTCATATATGTTTCTCATATTTTTCTTCCACCATACAAATTTGCCATAGATATTGAATCAACACATTTTAAAACTATTTTTTGTCAAAAAAAAAAATGATCACCACTTTAAGGGATCTCTATTCTAAATTTTCAACATTTACACATTTCTTAGAAGTGAAGTTATGAAATAAAAAGCTGACAAGATACCAAATAACTTGTTATGGAAAAATATACATATATACATAATTAAAAGAACAATTTATGTGTTTTTATAACATGTTAAAATATTTATTATATCATATATACAAATTTTGGTTTCATTTTTATATATGTTATTTAATTTTTTGGAGCCTTATAAATTAATATAACTTGTCATTACGATATATACTGTGCTAAACATATAAATAACAATTTAGAAACTATGTTTTCAATAAATTAAATATATATCTTATTATATGTAGTTATTTGGAACTCTATAAATAAATATAACTCGTTATTACAATATTTTTAGTGTTAAATACATAAATAGCAATTTAAAATCTATGTTTTCGGTAAATTATAATATATATCGTGTTATATTTGTTTACAATATAACTCACACATATTTATCCATAAATTGTTTTTGGATTAGTGAGACAAATCGATTTGAAGTTATGCTTTGAATGATGAAAACAATTCAGATTTGTGGTTGTTTCGTATTATTAGATCTGATTTATACATGGTTAATCTAAGTTTGGAATCTGTGTTACTTGTGCAAAAATGAAAAATAAAGAAGATACAAGAGAGGAGAAAAAAAAAGGCGTGAAAAGCAAAAATACAAGAGAGGAGAGTATTTAAAATATCATTCAATGCAATTAATTATCACAAATCTTCTCTCCTCTTTCAAATTTTCTCCATTCGCATACAATGCATCTTCACTCCAAAAATACTACTCCCTCCATCGTTTTGACAAAATAAATTTTAACTATTTATTAATGTATCGAGATGTGTTTTGAGTTTTAATACATCCATATATATCTAGATACATTGGATAGTTAAGAATCAAAACAACACTTATTATAAAACAGATGGAATACTATTTACTATACCCTTTGCCTCTTTACTAATAGCCATTTGGTTATATATGTTGGTTACCTAATTTCAGGCCCGGCCCAAATTATGTTGAATGGCAAATTCACTCTACTTTTTTCTTATAACAAAAACAACATATAGTTCTAAGTTCATGACGACTTATACATACTGTTATCAATATGTCGTAATCTCATTTAACAGTATATCATAAGTACTTACATTATTTCGATTCAACTTTTTTTTGTGTGTGTGCTTGCCTAGATTTTTTCTCCAATTACTTTAACTTTTTTTCCTGTATAGCAAAATAAGCATTATTATGTAGCTAGACCAACATGTTTTCACTAAAACCGTAACTTTGTATGTTTATTTTACATAATGGGAAATGAAAAGAAAAATAAACCTTAACACTAGTAAATTCTGGTTTGTAGATATATTGGAGAAAAAAACAGGTTTATAAATTAATTATTTAAAAAAATCCAATATCATTAAATGACAATTAAACAATTCATAGTTGAAATTTCTGCAATGATATGAGTTTCTGATATATTATAAAATATTTAATTTATGTTTTTATAGTTAATCTTTTATTTTCTGACCCAATCTATTTTTTTCTTTTCTTTTTTCTCTTTTCTTTTGAAAAGGGTGTCTGACCCGGCATTAGACTTTATCCACCACCATTGCTTCATGCAGTTCTCCGGCGGTCGCCATGTCACGTTCTTACCATCATCATATGTCTTTGCCTCAGACAGATAATTCCTCCAATCCACAAGCACTTGTCTCAAATCATGATTCTCTNCGGTTTTCTACGGGAATATTCGCGATCCAAATTCTCCGAAGTCTCAGCTCCTCCAACGACGAGGTCTGCGTCGCCCAATTCAGGTCTCGATCCGTGGTCGTCACCGGGAACCGGATCAGAAATCGAAATCGCGACTTCCTCCGCCGCCGATTTCACTGTACCGTCGATAGGTTCGACGAGAGATCGACAGAGAGGACAAGAGGAGTGAGAATGAAACCACATATCGATGCAGTCAACATGAAACGTGTGCTTGCAATTGGGCAAAACCCGACCCGATTCGCTCTCCTCGAATTCCGAGAGGCAAACCGCACACTCGATCGCGCTTTCGGCGGTCGCGGCGGAGAAAGTAAAAACGGGAAGAGATTTTATGACGGACTGGTCGAGGCCGCGGGAGGTTACGGCACCGGTGGAGGAAGGGTTGGCGAAGAAGATAATAGCAGCGGCGGCGCGACGATTGCTGTTGAATCGGCGGAGATGGAAGCGGCGAGAGCGGAGGAGATACCAGCGAGAGTAGAGGTGGAGAAAGATCATGAGAATGACGACGAATAAGATTAGGATTATGGCGGTGAGCATGATTCTGCTGTTTATCGTGAAGCTGCCAGGATCCGAATAGGCGCCGGGTGGGCTGGGAACTGGATTCGGGTCTCTAAAACTCATAGTTTCTGATTTCGATCGGATCCTAGATTAAGAACTGAAAGAAAGAGAGAGAAATGTGTGAATGAAGTGCAAGATGGCTATGGTGGTTTTTAGTAATGGCGAGTAAGAAAGAGTCGGAGAAAGAGAAAGACAGAGATGGCTAATTGGCTATTGGGACTACGAGATTTGAAGACGCCAACGTTGACTATTCACTTGACCTTTTTACTCTTTTGTGTTTGAATGTTTTTTTTGGTTGATTTTGATTTGATTTTTCCAAGGTAGCACGAAAAATATTAATGAATATATGTATTTTAAAAAAGTTTCTAAAATTAATATATTAAAAAAATATATATAATATTTGTATTATACTTTGATAGTGCTCCAAACAAACTGGAGAAATATTTTACTAGTTAGAGATGATAGTGCTGCTCTATAATCAATTTTCAAACGCACGACCTTTTGTAATATTTGTCTGTTAACAACTACATGTGTCTGAATGGAGACAATTTGTCTCCCCTCATAAAACGTGTCTCACATTGTGAATGGATGCACATGTTAGAGTAAAAAAAAGAGGTGGAAATTTTTTTTTACTCTCACTTACTCTAATGCTAGCCATTTAGCTGGAAAAATAAATAATCTGATTTTCAGCCAATATGGCTCAATTTGCCTATATACATGTTATTCCACTTTTTGGAGGAAGAAAAGAGATAAGTGAAACATTATTTATTTATTACTTTCATTTATTTTCACTTACACTCATTTACTACCATTCACATATAAAACATTTTTCTCCATTTTCTCACTCTTTTACTCTATTTATCAATTTTTCTTCCCTCTCAATTACTCTTCTCTCTTTTACTCTAAATTACTCTAATGTTTACCATTCACACCCTCAATATATTTATTTTTTTTCTTTTTTTTAACTCATTCTAGTTTAATAGGCAACTTCAAAATACCGTTAAAAATTCCCCTGTCGTCATAAATATATGGAGTACAATATATGTAGTCAGTCAAGGCCTGAGAAATTGATATTCTACCTCGACAGAACATAATCATCAATAACGGATAGGAATTTCTTTTTGGATTTTAAATACTCAGATTTGACATGCGTTCAAAATCTTGCTAGGCGGTACTCGGGCGGTCTATGGGAGTAGTAATCGGGGATTTGTTTGGAGAGTAATCGGGGAATTATTTTAAATATTTTTATATATAATTAAACATTTTTTTTATAAAAATATAACACATCATCAATCTGATAAATATATATTACCAATTTAGATTTGATATGTTATCTAGAATATATACATATTATCATTTAGATTAAAGTATTAAATATGTTATCTAAAATTCGAACCAAACCAAGATTATGTTAATTCAACTATGGTTCAGTTATAAGGAGGGAACTTTTATTTGTTGGGTGTGACATTAGCTTTTCTTTAACTCAACCAGTTAATGGGGAGAAATCCCCTCTCTTCAACCAAAAAAAAAAAAAAAACTCAACCAGTTAATTCAACAGGGTGTGACATTAACTTTTCTTTTCAACCAATTACAATAATCAAAATATAAAATTAGTTTTCTTCTACATACATGATTTGGATTATTCTTGAGACCAAAGGTAGATTATTTAACCGGGAAATCAAAATAATGACGATTGTCAAAATTAATTTTCTTTTAAGCTTCTAGGTTGAGTCCTTGACAAAACTTCTCATGGGGTTTGTACTATACATTTTATTTTATTTGATAACAGAACAATCGGTGAGATCTGATAAATTATTAAAGTCAGTCAAACAAAAACGAAATTGATGTCAATTAATAATCACAGAAAATCATGTTGGCTTAGTGGGACACCCCGGCCACAAGCCGGCAACTAGACGTCGTTCACACAAACAAGATTAAACGCTTCAAGGAGGTTTGGTAACTTTAGATTTCAGTTTACTTTTGTTGGTTTAAAGTTTTACTAGTTGTGTTGGATGGCCATGGTAATCGTATCTTTGACTGGTTGATGGAGTTTCTTAAGAATATAAGCCATATCATGGTTTAGTATCATAGACTTTAGAGTAGATGAATATCAAAGTCAGATTACAATAAATTATAACATGTCTTTTATAAAAACAAACGTGTGATCTCATATTTTTTCTAACATTTTTCCAATCGTCATTAAAGAAGTAAATTAATCCCAATGTCAAAGAATTTTAATGATAGTTTTGTCGTCTGTAGAGCAAACCATATATATTAGTAAATTTTCCTATTTTAAAAGAAAAATTCAGTTGTCAGTTTAGTAGGAAGATTAGTTTCAATTTCTGCTCTTGTTAGTATAGTGACAAAAATCAACTGCCCAACAACAGATACTTTTTTGAGTATTTGCACTGGATAGCAATACTGTTTGGCCTAATTAAGAAAATGACAAGAACAATTATCTTGTTTTTTTTTTTTTTTTTTGTTCAAAACCAATTATCTTGTTCAAACAATGAAAATATTTCACCACCACTTCTCTCCTTTATACCCTCACGCGTTTTTTTCTTTCTTAATCTCATTTTCTCACTCTTTCATCTTAAATGACTTGCTCTCCTTTCTTCTTTTTATTATTTTCAGAAAAATGAATCTTTCTACTTTCAAACTCCAAAAATGATTAGAAATCATCACTCATATATGTTTCTCATATTTTTCTTCCACCATACAAATTTGCCATAGATATTGAATCAACACATTTTAAAACTATTTTTTGTCAAAAAAAAAAATGATCACCACTTTAAGGGATCTCTATTCTAAATTTTCAACATTTACACATTTCTTAGAAGTGAAGTTATGAAATAAAAAGCTGACAAGATACCAAATAACTTGTTATGGAAAAATATACATATATACATAATTAAAAGAACAATTTATGTGTTTTTATAACATGTTAAAATATTTATTATATCATATATACAAATTTTGGTTTCATTTTTATATATGTTATTTAATTTTTTGGAGCCTTATAAATTAATATAACTTGTCATTACGATATATACTGTGCTAAACATATAAATAACAATTTAGAAACTATGTTTTCAATAAATTAAATATATATCTTATTATATGTAGTTATTTGGAACTCTATAAATAAATATAACTCGTTATTACAATATTTTTAGTGTTAAATACATAAATAGCAATTTAAAATCTATGTTTTCGGTAAATTATAATATATATCGTGTTATATTTGTTTACAATATAACTCACACATATTTATCCATAAATTGTTTTTGGATTAGTGAGACAAATCGATTTGAAGTTATGCTTTGAATGATGAAAACAATTCAGATTTGTGGTTGTTTCGTATTATTAGATCTGATTTATACATGGTTAATCTAAGTTTGGAATCTGTGTTACTTGTGCAAAAATGAAAAATAAAGAAGATACAAGAGAGGAGAAAAAAAAAGGCGTGAAAAGCAAAAATACAAGAGAGGAGAGTATTTAAAATATCATTCAATGCAATTAATTATCACAAATCTTCTCTCCTCTTTCAAATTTTCTCCATTCGCATACAATGCATCTTCACTCCAAAAATACTACTCCCTCCATCGTTTTGACAAAATAAATTTTAACTATTTATTAATGTATCGAGATGTGTTTTGAGTTTTAATACATCCATATATATCTAGATACATTGGATAGTTAAGAATCAAAACAACACTTATTATAAAACAGATGGAATACTATTTACTATACCCTTTGCCTCTTTACTAATAGCCATTTGGTTATATATGTTGGTTACCTAATTTCAGGCCCGGCCCAAATTATGTTGAATGGCAAATTCACTCTACTTTTTTCTTATAACAAAAACAACATATAGTTCTAAGTTCATGACGACTTATACATACTGTTATCAATATGTCGTAATCTCATTTAACAGTATATCATAAGTACTTACATTATTTCGATTCAACTTTTTTTTGTGTGTGTGCTTGCCTAGATTTTTTCTCCAATTACTTTAACTTTTTTTCCTGTATAGCAAAATAAGCATTATTATGTAGCTAGACCAACATGTTTTCACTAAAACCGTAACTTTGTATGTTTATTTTACATAATGGGAAATGAAAAGAAAAATAAACCTTAACACTAGTAAATTCTGGTTTGTAGATATATTGGAGAAAAAAACAGGTTTATAAATTAATTATTTAAAAAAATCCAATATCATTAAATGACAATTAAACAATTCATAGTTGAAATTTCTGCAATGATATGAGTTTCTGATATATTATAAAATATTTAATTTATGTTTTTATAGTTAATCTTTTATTTTCTGACCCAATCTATTTTTTTCTTTTCTTTTTTCTCTTTTCTTTTGAAAAGGGTGTCTGACCCGGCATTAGACTTTATCCACCACCATTGCTTCATGCAGTTCTCCGGCGGTCGCCATGTCACGTTCTTACCATCATCATATGTCTTTGCCTCAGACAGATAATTCCTCCAATCCACAAGCACTTGTCTCAAATCATGATTCTTATTCTCAAGTCCCACACAACAATTGGCATGCATTGTGCAAACCCTATCCAGGTGCCGACCCCGCTCACAGAATCCTCCGAAGTACTTTGTATCGAGAAACCTCATTTTGAGTCCTATTTCTGCAGTGTACCGATCGTGTTTGATTTCATTGAGCACGCCTTGATCGTTTTGATCCGGAAATCGCAGCCTCGACGCGTACCAGTAGTTGTAGAAATCTATGGTTCGTTGATTGGCTTGGACAAAAATGAAACCACTGTTAGCCTCGTTGCCGATGTCGCTATCGTTTCCACTAAAGCGGTCACAAGAGAATTGGAAATCGAAATCTTTAGATAGACGAGGGAAAGGATCTCGAAACCACATTACATCTATGTCCTACACACATTAACCATATGTTAATAAAAAGATTATGATATAAATAACTAACC